TCAGCACTGACCCTCCGACAGTGCGGCGCTCCCTCAGCACTGACCCTCCGACAGTGCGGCTGTACTGTACTCAAAGGTCTGAGCAATGACGGAATGTGTGCTAAAGGCCTTATTAACCACCCTGTCTCCCTGTGAACTTGGACCTGACCCCCTTGATCTCTCGGTTCAGCAACATGACCCACGGCCCCACCATTGAATGTAGAAATCCTGTCCTTGTTTGTTTTATCAAAATGCAAGACCTCGCATTTATTTCACTGCCAGGCTGATGGTATCTGTTGGCTGTTTGAATGGCGTCTGGTACTATAACCCTTTCTCTCTCTGTCCACATTCTCTCTCTCAGACGTTTCTCTGTCAGTCCAACAGCCTGGATACTGTCCAGCTTGCAGACATGTACAGTTTCATGGGTGGCGGCCTATTCTGTGCGTTCATGGGGAACGTCCTGCTGGTAGTGTCGACGGCAACCGACTACTGGATGCAGTACCGCCTGTCAGGCAGCTTTGCCCACCAGGGCCTCTGGAGATACTGCATTGCAAACAAGTGCTACATCCAAACAGACAGCATCGGTGAGAGCAGGGGGGGAATGGAGACTGGGACTCAGTGAGTGGCAAGGGGGCTTTGTGAGTGTGTGCGTGTGTGTGTGTGAGTGTGAGAGAGTGAATGTGTCTGCGTATGAGTGTGTGTGTGTTTGTGAATGTGTGTGTGTGAGAGTGAGTGTGTGAGTGTGTGTGTCTGTGTGTGTGTGAGGGTGTGTGTGAATGTGTGTGTATATGTTTGTGTGTGTGAGAGTGAATGTGTGTGTCTGTGTGTGTGAGAGTGAATGTGTGTCTGTGTGTGTGCGTGTGCATGAGAGTGTGAGTGTGTGCATGTGTCTGTGTGTGTGTGAGACTGTGTGTGTATGTGAGTGTGTGTGAGTGTGATTGTGAGTGTGTGTGAAAGAGAATGTGTGTGAGTGTGCGCATGTGTGTGTTAGTGAGTGTGAGACAGTGTGTGAGTGTGTTTGTGAG